TATTGATACAATGCAGTCTAAATTTTGTTTTATCTACAGTAATTAAACATCAATTTAAAAGGAACATCATATTCAATCGGTTAGCTTATTATTGAAAAAGATCCATTAAGTGTTAAACGTTAGATAACAAAAGATTGAATAGTTTCCACACTAACTAAACTATATATATTCATGTAATTTACCCTGAAGAACGTTAGTCAGAAACAGCTCAAGACCTATCAGGAGTATACAACAGATTATTTTTCCACAAACAAGCATATCAGAGAGGAGTGAAATATGGAGGATATTGACATGAAAGTCCTACTCACTGCTTTCTGACGGTGAGAGTGTTGTTTACGACATTTAGAGGACGAAAGGAAAGTATCCGGTGCCTTAGCCAGGTTGGTGGGTATGGAGTATCAACCCATGGGAGTTGGAAAACCGTAATTCCAAATGAATGAGCTCCAGTACCGTAAGCGGACAAATGGTCTATGAACATATTATTTGTCACCGGCTATCACAGGACTGCATCTGCTGACGTTTTTCCACTGCCATGTGGATTAAACCTTTAGGTCAAAGGTTTGGGGAGTGTCCCCTTAAAAAACCATCTCACACAAATCGAATGTATTATGTGGTGCATATATATTTGGTGCCTTCTTGTACCAATATTTATGTGTTTAAATAATAAATAATAAACATGATGAAAAGAAAAGAAGGTAAGATACCAGTGAAGATTTCTCAATGATCAATAGTTTGTTCAACATTGTGGGCATCCTTTTTTTAAAAGTGTGAATTAACACAAAACACAGGTCAAGCAGAACTTCCTACTACTTGACTACAGTTACCCAACATTATACGTTTAATGAAAATACAATTTTTTTCTCTTGACAACACAATAAATTAGTCAAGATGGCGAATTTAAAAAGTAAATCACACAGACCAACTTATTATAACCAACTAATAGTTTCACTAATTAGATTATAAATGACAGACAGTTATTCAAATCAATATAAACAGTATTAATGTACGTTTAAAATACTTAATAGGGGAGTAGGATGGTAGGGAGTCTACATTCATCTCAGTTCTAGGCTCTATCAACACGAATTTCAAAGTAATCACACTGAACTTAATTATGGACTTGAATAAATTGGGTATTTTTTTGTCAAGTAGTACAACACTTTTAGTTAAATATTAGAAGTCATCCTCCTTTAAACTTATCTCTCCCACTGAGTGAAATATAAGATTTAAAGATAGTAATTAATATATTTTAATAAAATGGAATTTTACAAAAATAATGAATTTTGTTGTCATACCTCACGAGTTCATTTTAGTTTGATGACCAACGAAAACTAGGGAAAAAAATTGAAAGTTTTTTATCCTACGATGGTATTCTTCAAGATTACGTATACGCAAACTAATTGGGGAACGAACATAGAATCTTCAAGGCTTTTCAGTGAACGCTTAACCTATAGATCACTCAATGATAAGGAGTCTTATACAGCCCCCAAATGCCCTAGTACGGCCGAGAGTGGGGAGAGTGCGCTCTCCCTCTCGAAATGCTCCCACATGGCCACGCGTATATAGTCTCTGCTAGGGAAGTCCTAATCACTGCCTTCTCGTGGCGGGGGTGTTGTTTACGAAAATGAGAGGACGAAAAGTGAATGTCCGGCGCTTTAACCGGATTCCAAAGCAATGGTGCACATGGGCTCCAGTATCCTGCAGGAACAAATGGAGTATGAACCAATTATTGGTCACCGGATACTATGGAGCTGCATCTCCTTACGATGCTCCACCGCCTTGTGGATCAGACTTTTGGTGAAGGTCGGTGGCCCCCTAAGAAAACCACCTGCTTCAGTTTGGGCACCCGGGCAGTATCACAGCCCTCACACATATCGAATGAGATTTGTGTGGCGCATATGTATTTGGTGCCTTCTTGTACCAATATCTATGTGTTAAAAATAAAATAAATGAAAAGTCTTATACAAGAACAAAATAACGCTCCAGCTATCCCCGGTTTTCAATGGTTCTATGAATAAAGTTATTCCGTCATGAAAAAATTAGTTGATGTATAAGTAATCATAAGTAATCAGATCAAGTTCTATTGTACACTGTCTTAACGATTTATACTAGTTTCAATCCAGTGTTTTGTTTTATTTGCCTTTAATAAAATTACTGAATATATAATTTGGATTACAATGTCATTGAAATGAGTGAATTTGGAAACGATTTAACAGAACAATGAGGAAACAAATTCTATTGAATGTTATTATACTGTTGAAAAAACCAAGCTACAGTTGATTGATTAATGTTATGTTCTAAAAACCGAGGTGAAACACAAGCTCAATCATATTTATAAACGGAAACATCACAGCGGTCAAATAAAACAAACAGAATTCGAGTATCATGGAATAGCTAAAGTTGACAGAGTGAGCTATTGGTTAGTTACTCAAAAGTAGGGAGATCAACCGAAAGCCTCAAGATTCCAGAATCGTTCTCTGAATGTCCATTGAGTTCATACTCTATACAACTCTAACGCTCTACGTTAGGTTCCTAGCTAAAATCAATTGAAGATGTTAACTATGCCTTTAGCAAACAAGTATGTCGTTAAGTTTACTTTATACGAACAATAGTGAAAGTAAAGTGTGTAAATATTATTCGTAGAATCCATATATTTAACAACTTGATCTTTAACTTAAGAGGTGTGACTATTAAAAATTATGATTAATACTATTTACTCTCATATCAAAAAAATATGATAACCAGTTTCGTCTTCCCGTGAATTCTATAAACAATCAATCACAAACAGACAAACACTAAACAAGTTCACAATAAATAAATAAACCTTCAAATTAGGCTGCAACACTTTCAGGTGCTGGATTAGCGGTTTCAAATTTAAGCATACGAGTGCGAGATCAAAGATATCGAGTTTGATTTCCAGTTGCGGGGTTATAGATGAAAACTACTGAGTAACGCCGTACTGTGACAAAACATCTATTCAATACTTCAAAGTTTTCAGTGGTGATCTAGCTAAGATCAGTTCATAATTTAAACTATGCGGATTCTATAATCTCCACTAATCCCTATTTATCAATCCTATAACAATCAGTAGCATAAATAATTGAGTTTATCATATCTTAATTTGATTGGCGTATAACGTTTGTAGTCACATAAATATCATAGAAACGAGATATTTCCATTTAGAAAATGCCTAAATTCAAGCTGATTATCTCAAGATTAAAAACATTAAGAATATACACATTATTGTAAACATATACACACTACACAACAAAGGAATTCCATATGAATATTGTAAATTGAAAGGCCTTTATTGATTATTATCTTAATAGAGCGATGTTCAGTTACATGGGATAATTAAAATGATCTATTCGAATGTCTTATCCTACCCTCTTTAAGTTCATTCATCCCAATTTACAGATAGTCAAAAGAACAAGGGACATAAGAATGGAATCTTTTACAATCACATAATGATTTGAAGTAACATGTATTACAAGTATCAAACCAAAGGGAAATCATTAACGCTTCAATTCTGTAAGTGAATTATTGTTTACACTTGTTATATCCGGTGAAGATTAAATTACAGGTAAATTCCAAGGACTATTCATGGACTAATATTCTATAAATATTCTTATTGTATAACTACTCAACAATTACACTATGTATAATTATATTCCTTTTATGATAAGCTTTATTTTGACTTATAACTTATTATTGTACGATTTACGGTTCTTAAGTTATGTTCAGTTTATTAACTACTGCCTCCCACATTCACAGCCACTTCTTGGGCTTATTTGTGTACAAATATTATTTCCTATTTTATGGTACGTTGCGGTCTGTGTGATTGATATATAAACCAAGTATGCCTGAAATAAACGATCTGCTCTGATTCGGAAGCTGGTATCTTGTTCTGGACTCAAGTGGAAGGGCTCGTAGGACATAGGACCAATAAGGACGCTAAACTGCCCACACCGGTTGAACGTCATTGATTGGCCTAGTGTGAAGATTCGTATAAGTCGTATTCGGATTGGTAGATAAATCGTGTGATCGAAAAGTCAGACATCACAAGGTCATAACAACACTATATCTTTATTTTTATATAGAATGTTACATTGTTAATAAAATACTGAACGTCACTTTAGTTAAAAATCCATTTAGAAAGTCATTACGTCAATATATATACACTTGGTACTGTTTGCTTGAATCTTTCCATCGAGGTTTTAGACTGCAATTGATCAGTCTGTTATTGGTGTTCACTCTAGGACTCGAGCCCTGCACCATTCGTTTCAAACGCCATCGCGTTATCCACTCAGCTGCTGAATGCATTCTAACTTTCAAATTTACAGTAAACGTTTGCTCAAAAGATACTTCATCTGAGTGTACATTTCTTGATGAATAAACGTTTTATACGGTATAAGATGAATTAGTCATCAATTCAATGACTGTAAACTTTAAACTACAACTTCTACACTAATACAAATTTTTATAATTCAAATAAATGTATATTTTCATTTATTATAACGATGACAAACTTGACAATGATGAATTTTATATTTTTAAGTCATTTTCCAAGAATTAATCATTCCCAAATTCATTTGGTGTTATTTTACTTATTTCTTCCCGTTGTTGTTTTAGGACTACAATTGATCAGTCACATATTGACATATATACATCCTGTGTGCATTGTCTCAATATAGCCTTAAATCACAAGTTTTTTTAAGCTAAAATGAATAGTGGTTAACAATGGAATCAAGGATACTCATTTCGTCCTATTTGGAACTCATCAGCTGGATGGACCTACATCCCGAGACTCGAACGTCAACTCTAGGATGCAGATACATCCAGTTGATGAGTCCCTAATAGGACGAAACGTACATCCTTGATTTCACTGCTAATCACTTGCCATCTTTGATTAATTATTCTTATTAGAAATAATTCATCAGTTACTTATATACAAATAATCAATCATAACAATAAATTAAATAAGTAATTTATTTCATACTTACTTTTAATAAAATTTCAGGTTTTTCAATTTCTTCAATGGGTTTATCTAAAATTGATTTTGTATTCACGCAACCCATAATTTTTCTCTTCCTTAGATTAATCACATAGTAAAAAAATTTTTTTTTAATAAGAAAAACACGTAGTGATAAAATTAATCCCAAAATTGTTTTCCTTTTTAAGAAATATCTTAATGATGATGATGATGATCAAGATAATGATCAAGATGATGATGATGATCAAGATGATGATGTCAACTTTTAGTGATAAATGTAGTTACAAGATCAATTTTAGTTGTTTTCCATTGTATTTATGTAAATATATGAAATGAAATCTTGAATATTGATTTTTTCTTTTCTTCATATTATACATCATCTATTATTCAATGATAGTTTCTTTATTTTTCTTTATAATGGAATGTTGTTCATGACAGATTATAAGTGTAGAATTTATTATGTGCTTATGATTACTATTTTACATGGTAGAAAATAAATTCTGACCAATTATATATGAGATCTATATATATATATATAAGGTATTTCATTATATACTTCAATTTGATTGGTCAATAAAATAATTTTAAATAAGAAGTAACCAATCAAAATTTAGTATTAAGAGGAACGTTAGGATTCATTTCATTGGTTTGAACCAAATATCGGCAATATAAAGTAATCTTGATATTCAACGAAATTTTTTATTAATTAACAGTTTTTTAGGTGAATGTTTCAGTATAGAATAACATAGACTAACTATAAATAAGAACTTTCATCTAAATTTGATCGAATAATTTTACAGTATTTGGGCGCCGAGTTGATATGAGACAATTAAAGAGGAAAGAAATAACATTTCCTTGAAAAAGCTTGGACCACATTGCTAGGCGAAAAGTTGGATTTACTTCATATTCATTCGCTAAGATTTTACAAATACATTATTCTTCTTTAATAGACTAATTATATTAATTAATTGGAAGTAACCAAGAAAAATAAATGCTTGAAGCCAGATTTTTAACTAGTTGGTAATCTTAATGTAATTGCTACTTCTTGACAAATTGAAATGAATTATAGTCAGAAACGTAATCGCTTGGATCTTGAAACAGTATTTTTTTTAAATCATTTAGACTGATATCAATAGTGGATCCTAACCTAGAGTATTCACTCAGATTTATAGGCTAAACAAACATGATACTATTCAGCAATTTAAGTTCTACTGGAGATCATTAAGGGTTCAAATATCTCAAAGGTAACGTCATAAATTATTGCATCAGCTGAATTGGTTAGAACTTCAAACAGAAGATCAATTCTTGCAAGGCTGTAGACACGTCTAACTAAATCAATTATAGTTTTCTCTTGATTGTTTCCAAACCCAATAAATAGAACTTAATAATTATTATTACAGAATCAAGTGAATTATCATTCATAAGATGAGATGTTTCTCCATGTAAATCCCAAAGAAAGGATGCTTAAGACAGTAAAAAAATCATTTCCTATAGAACTAAATTAACTAATTACAAATAAACGTAGAAAATCTTTAAGTTTGTTTCACATACTGAAAATGTACGGAAGTTTTTGTGGTTTGGTTGAAATAAGAATCACAGTAAGATTTCATCACAAGGCGTTCACAGATCTTATGAGACGCAATATAAACTCTGTTTAAATAAACTTCAGAGGAATTCCAAACAGTTAACAGTTTAGTACCGAACATTGCACAAATTTTTGTGATGTCAACTCATCAAAACCATCTTTCAGAGCAGCATTCACAGCCGAGCGGGTTGACCTAGAATGAACCATGAATCGTCAACTTGTGCACTGTAGGGTCATTGGAAGTTCCGCGTTTCAAAGTAGACTCTTCATGTAAAGGTAACGTGTACAATCTAGTTCCAGTTTTCTTGTTTTGTTTTATCCATATCTTTCAAGTGGGCAACTATTTATTATATTTTTAATCCGTAAACTATTTTTATCTCACTAATATTTTAGCTCCGTTAGCTGGATACCATCAGCAACAGCCTACTCTGAAAGAGAGCAAGTTAGCTTCCATCTGAAGATGAATTCATGAAAAGACGTTAGTTTCCATAGTGTATGGAAATCCCCAAACTGCATTACGAAGCCAGCCCTAACTTGGAATCGTGATGGGAAACAGAAAAATAGGAAAGCCAAAGAACACATTTCGTCATGAATTGGAAGCAGATATCAATATAATGAATAGCAACTGAAAACAATTGGAAAGGATTGTCCAGGACAGTGTTGGATGAAGAATGGTAGTAGGTGGCTTATGCTCCTCCACAATAAGTAACAGGCGTAAGTAAGCAAGTAATTATCAATGGAATAAAAGATCACTCAAGATAATATAAATTGTTAGCTTCCGATAAATAATAGAAACTGATCATTCTGTTATCTTAATGAGTTGTTCATACTGTCATTTCTAATCATAATCCTCTACCGTTAGGCTTTAATCTGTTAATCTTATTCTATAATACCTTTTTTAATCTGTTAAATAAGGTCATACTCTATATCTTTTGAGTAATATTTCTCAATATGTACGTAGATATATATATATATCCTAATGTGTGTGCATGTCTGCCTGTTGGTATACTTTGTATTTAGATTTTTTTCTTTTCAAGAGATTCACATAAAGAATCCTTAAATTGATTACACAAGGGAAAAATGAATATTGAAGAAATGATTCACCATGGCAACAGGAATGAAATGATAACTTGAATCAAACTTATGATTATAATAAAAGAAAATATTAGCATAATGACTAAACCATTAGAGTAGAAGCGTTTGGCTTCCTTTTTTTAATGGAATGTTATATACTCGGTAACTAATAAAAACGTTGAATTATAATTGATTTGTCTGGGATGTATGATCCCTATTAGAATTTATGAATAGCAGTATGTCATTATGTGACTGCTAGAATGTTTTGAATTATAGACAGTTCTTTATTTGATTTGATACTTGTTAACCGCTTCTGGAAGTTATTCAGAATTTGTTGTTAGTTGGTGTATTTTGGTTTATGTTTGTAACAAATTGATCATTTACGCCTTTGATTCCCGTAGAAAATATGTCACCGACCTGAGATCTACAATCAACTCTGTTCTGAACTATCCTTTCCATTTATTTTCAAGTGCTATTTATTTTTTTCATGTCTGACTTTAATTCTCAGTACAATAAGTTCACTGATGTTCCTTTTCTCCTTCTGCCCTGAGAATTTTAAGTAGAGGGCTGGCTCGTGACACAGTTCGATGATTTTCTCATGTCGAAGCTTGTTTGTTCTCTGTCACAATAGGTTGTTGTCGATGATGTCTGGCCAACATATCTGGAATATACAGTTTGTTAAACCGTTTATACATATCTGTCCGATTTGGATGATACTTTTTGTAGTTCTCCAAGTGTAATCTCCGCACAATGGGATTGTTTTGACATTCATAATGGAAAATTAATCATTTATATAACGATATATTAATGAATAATGATTCAAATGTTTAGTAATTCCCATTACAAGATATCGGTACGGTGTGCTATATGTGTCATCAGTGAGAATAAATGATCATCTTGTAATGTCACTTATCAATTTAAATCAGAAATATACACCAACAGATGTTAATTCAGTGATCTGGAAGTTAAATACCAGTCACAATTCATGATGGTTAAAAATTCTATTACCGGTTAATTCCCCAGATGAGTAATTTTGAGAGGCTCCATACTGCTCGATAGTATACTTGTTCATCATTTCCTGGTTTTCACTGTCCTAGTTAATTGTCTTTCATAATATAATCTGCAAAGTAAGAACTAATATTCCATATCAATAAAATCAGTATTGACTAAATAACAGTTTATTTTCACTTTATAAGTTCTCATCACTGTGCAACAAGAATTCCAGCGAAATTCTATACATCATTACTGAGTGTGATATGTTTAGATTATTGAACCAGATTGTGAAACTTTTGAAAATTAGTTAATTTACTACTGAAAATAATACTGATTACTACTTGACCCGTACGAGCAGTCTAGAGTATTTATCGGTCTTGCTTACCACCTAGCTCAGCCAGTTAAGTCCAGAACACCAATCTCAGCCTCTGCGATATGGATCCTGTATTTCAAGCATACTAGGTTTATATACCAACCAGACAGACCACATCGCACCATACAATAGGAAACAACATTTATTCAAGAATTAGCCAAATGTGGCTGTGAATTAGGGACGTAGTAATTAATAGACAGGGCATAATTCAAGAATGGTAACTCGTATAATAATAGTTCATAGGTCAAAATAAAGCTCATAATAAGACGGACATGAATATGAATAGGTGAGTTATTTATCAATTATACGATAAAAATATACGTATAATAATGGTCCATAAATGGATCCCAAAAGTTACCATCCATTATTCACATCGGGATATAGCAGAGATATATTAAGGAAAGCACCAAAATGCATCACAATGCAAACCTTCACTTGGAATCCTCAAGGTCAAAGGAGAAGACGAAACCCAAAGAACACATTGCACCGACAAACAGAAATAGACATATGAAGAATAAACAACAAATGTATATAACTAGTGGTGAATGCCCAAGACAGAAAGGATTAGAGAATGCTAGTCGGCTGTCTATACTCCATTGAGTGTCATAAGGTTAAGTAGGTAATTAAATTGTCTACAAAATAATGAAATCAGTTAATGATTTTTTTGTTGTTGTTGAAAGAATCAACTTGAAATTACATCAAATTGATCATGATTACTAATTGAGATAAATTTTTTTAACCAATTGTATGTTCACTACGAAAGTGATAATAATAATAATAATAATAGTAGTAAAAGTAACCATGGTTCAGTAGAAAAAGAAAACCGAAAAAAAACACAACAACAAACAAAACGATTCACTTCCGTTGTAAAAACATTCTTTTCTCTTTTATACAATCGATTTATATATAGATATGTATTATGATAGACATATTGATTGATTGAATATGGGATAGAAAAAAGTGAAAATGCCAAAATTATTATTACTATGATTATTCTTATGTTAAAATAAACATCAATTATGGAAAAAGAAGTGGTATACAAGAGAAAGAAGATAGGCGATCTCAGCAACTGTGATAACTACAGGGGCATCACTCTTCTCTCAATACCGGCAAAAGTCTTCAACAGGGTATTGTTAAACAGGATGAAGGACTGCGTAGACGCCCGACTTCGTGACCAACAGGAAGGATTCCGTAAGGATAGATCGTGTACAGACCAAATCGTAACTCTACGGATCATCGTGGAACAATCATTTGAATGGAGTTCATCACTCTACATCAACTTCATTGACTACAAGAAAGCATTTGATAGCGTGGACAGAACAACACTATGGAAGCTTCATCGATACTACGGCGTGCCTCAGAAGATAGTCAATATCATACGAAATTCATATGATGGATCACACTGCAAAATTGTGCATGGAGGACAATCGACAGACTCGTTCGAGGTAAAGAACGGTGTTAGGCAAGATT